AGTATTGATTGATGCCTCTTTTGTTGTAGATGATATTGAAGTCGTGTTTTATGAGACTGAACCTCACACTTGCTGGAAGTCATGGGAAGCTCAAGGGATCTTTGCTCCATCAGATGTTCATGGACAGGTGCGGTTTATAGCCAATAACAGTTACTTATAATATCCTTATAGTTGCACCTTGATAAAACAAAAAGCGACTTACGCAGCATCTGTTATATGTATACTGCAGATTGCCATAGTGTTCAAGACACCTGCATACTGGAATGTTGCTACTGAAAGTCCTGTTAAGGTTCTTGTTAAACTGAGGCGGAAGTCTGACCGGAAAAGCAGTAAACCTGTGAAGTTCACTTATCAACCACTAATGTCCGGTATGTGGCTGTTTTTAAGGCAGATTTTCTTCTAAGAGTACATTACAGAATGATGTAGAAATGGTCTATATCAGATGAAGTTGTTTAGGGAATGTAGAGTGGCGTGCATTGTCTCGGTGTTTACCCTTATAACGACAAGTCATGTCTTTCCTCCCATAAGATTTCATTATTGCCGATCATATTTAATACGCAGCTCGGTATTAACTCTTTAAATAGCTACAAATACGTATCTCGCAGAACCTCGCAAATTCTCAGGAAAAGGGCCAGGAGTAGAGATAAAAAACCCCAAACCAAGAAAAATGTAGGGCCAAAAAAGTAAACAGGAACAACAAAAACAAACTCACCAACTAACTAACTAACTAACTAACTAACAAACTAACAAAAAACGACTTAAAGGACTCGAACGTGAGGTTTTGTGCTATGCCGCTATTCTCACTGCATGCATAATTGGCCCGTGACGCGGGAAATAAGTAACTCCTTTAAATTCTGTCGTGTTGAGCACGAGCGCAGGTGGCATGATGCATTGCGGCCCTTGCTTAGAATTACTTGGTTTTTGCGCGTCTCTTGGCCAGTTCAAAGGAGTTCAGTGGAAGGGACTTCCAAGTTTCGCCCCTCCCACCTCCCCTGGTGGCGGTTAATGTCGCATACCCTCACTATACGGAATGCCTATTGCCCTGGCAGTCGCGGTTTCCCCCCATAACTTATTTCTCCATGTCGGGACATTAAGTATGCAGTGCGAATATTATACAACATCACGTAAGTAAACATACTCGTTAGTGGTTTAGTGAAAAATCAAGATTGGGGATCATGGATCAAAGATTGAGGAGCAATAATCCTTATGGTTTTTGTTTATTAATGACTTTTATTTAACTTTTGCTTAATTTACCCTCAGCGTTTTGGAATCAGGGATCATTATTCTAGCTAGCCATTAGAGTGGTAATTCCAGAAAAAAAAATAAAAAAGCTTACGATGAATGAGAATGAATTTTAAAAACTCATGAGGAAAAGCTCCTTCCCATTAAAAATTGTCCCGTGAGTAGAAATTCTTTTATTTTAAAGATGATGATTGTGTAGTTCCAGAAAATATCCACATCCCAACGGAGGGCATCGGAAATTCCGGAGGGAAGGAAGGGTCCAAAAGGAGGCAATTTCCTGGGGGATTGGGGTGGCCTCTCGAGGTTTTATTTTCCAGAGGCTCCTGGTAAGATTCGTGAGTTATTAAAAACTAACAGCTGCTTTGTCATTAACCGGTGTGTCAAATCAAAAATTATCGTTTGCATTGATCATCTTGTATTTGTGGTTGTCTGAATGGATGACAGACGGCATCATTCGTGTAGTCAGCAGTGTAAGGTATGGCCTGCATGGTTAATTATTAGCTGTTAAAGATCTCGTTAAGGGAAAATTGAGATTATTAGACAATGGATTAATATGAATAGAAAGATTTTTTTCTCACTTTTCGCAGAAGCAAATACCTTTCGCTTAATAGTATTGTGCAACAGCATTTTTACGCAAATAATTTCTTCCAACCAAGTTGGAAAATCACAGAAATGCCATTGGGTGGGTGAGGGGGGGGGGGGGATTTATGACAAGCTCGCCCTGAATTGGAAATTCTTGGGGTCTGGATGTTCTAAAGCAAAAGTGTCCTCCGTGTGGCCTTCTGATCCAGATGCAAAATGTTAGGTTGCGAAGTTCTGTCATGCGTGTCCCCTCTTTTTTGTCTTTTCTTGCCTTTTTTTTTTTGCTGGACATTTAGTAGGCTTCATTTTGATGGGAAAAGGTTTTTAGGAAAGCTTTTAGGATTATAGAATTAGAGGAAGGGAACGGTAGGGGGGTAGTGGAAAAGTATTTTCATGGAAACTTTCAGCTCAATGTTGCGTGTTTTTTTCTTTTCCTTTCTCTGGTGTCCTTGACTGAATTGTTCTCATTCTGGTATGGTTTGAATTCTTCACTCTGCACAAGTTAGCGGACAGAGTTGTCCTTGACCATTGAAATTGATGACGTCACAAACAGTAGAAGTGACGAAGTTGGGGCGAATTGGTTGATAAAGAAAATATATTCCTGGGAAGTGGGTGTTTCTCCTTTGTCACAGCGCGTTGTTCATTTGATCCTTGTGGTCTTTTGTTTTCTGTCCGTAAATGAATTCGTTAACATCAACTGAAATATCAGATGACTTTCATTGTTAGGCTAGTGTTTTATGAACCTGCAACCAGGCACCTTTAATTTTCTCCTTATTAAAAAGAGAGAGAGAGAGAGAGAGGTACGAAAAATCAAACAAAATCAAGTTCTGATTCCTGATCCTTGATCCCCGATCCCGTGGTTTTGTTTTATGGATATATTTTATATGCGTTATATATCAATAGGCAAGAATAGGGTTATTTTAAAATAACAATGTTGTTTCCCCTCCAGTATATTACATCCCCACCTCTCCTACCTCCTTAAGACAGCAGCGGACATTTGCGGCAGAGATTTCACCTGTAGTGTTAGGGCATGCATTTCTTTGATTATCATGTGTAGTGCCTCTTGAGTACCGTTTTACTGTTTTTTTTCTCTCTGTTAGAAGCCCCATCAGCCTCAAATCTTAAGATTTGTCGCATGGATCCGAAAACTGGCTGTGCTACAGGATATGATCAGGTCTACTTACTTTGTGACGAAGTGCAGAAAGGTAATCAAGTGTCTTTTTAGGTGCTTCGATACAGTTTTTCGGAGGCCATACCGATATTTTTCAATTGCCTTAAAACTGATCTTGTCCTTGTTCGATCGCTATAAAATTTTCACCAGTGATTGACTGTGAATTGACATTTGTCAAATTGCAGGTTTAGTAAAATCGAAATCACTGTGACAACAATAAACAAATTTGCGCGATCTAGACCTACCACTGAAAAGCCGATTAAGGCGATTGAAAAATATCGGAATGGCCTCCGAAAAACTGTATTGAAACACCTTAAATTTCGGGTGCACTCTGAGTTTCTTTATTTGTCATTGTAACGTAGAGAGCGTGCTGGCCCTGTGTATTTGCCATGGGGCCACCATGATGCCATGATATCAGGACTGTTCTATGTGAGATGACGTGTTCAATTGTAAACTAGGATTTCAGCAAATTCTCCCGAGAACTTTACTTACAAGTTGGACTTCTAGCCACTCAAACGAACAGCCAAGTGGTGTAAATGAATTTATTTAAGACGGAACATTTCAATTTAACGTTTGTGTTTGATAATAAGAAAAAAATTCTTGTTACTTTTGCAATTTTTGGGAAATTTGCAGACTTCTCGATAGCCTTCTTTGCCTTTCGCCTTTATAAGTCTGAACGTTTGCGAATTTTGTTAATATTGTCATGCTTGTGATAATTGTTACCGTGTTGTTCTTGTTGCAATAAAATTTCTTGTTACTTTTGCGATTTTCTCGAAATTTGCGGACTTTTAGAGGGCCTTCTTTGCCTTTCTTCTTTGGCCGTCGATAAAACCAGGAAAATGGAACATTCCGGAAGATCCCGGAACATGAAAAAATTAAAATAATTTTTTTAGAAAAATAATAAATAAATGAAATGATAATAATAATAATTGTAATTATAATTAAAAATGAAATGAATAAAAAGTAATAATAACAAAATAAATAAAATACCGTAAAATTCCGAAAATAAGCCCCGGGGCTTATATTTTTCAAAGACCCTTTTTTGAGGGGCTTATTTTTTGAGGGGCTTATATTCAAAGGGGCTTATGTACGGAGGTAAATTTGCGTTTCAAAATCGATTGGGCTAGCTTATAGTTGGGAGGAAATTTGCCGTTTTAGCTGTGTTTTACTTTCTATTTGAGGGCAATTTCCAAGTACAAGCTCCCAGGGGTGTTATCTTCGGAGGGGCGATGTAACGGAGGGTTTTTTTGCGTTACGAGTTTGGGGGGCTTATATTTGGAGGGGCTTATACAAGGAGGGGCTAATTTTCGGAATTTTATGGTAACATAACATACACTGCTCTCTTCAAGATACCTCCTTTTAATCAGCAATCTCGTACACCGGTCGGATGCTCTGAGCGACGAAGGACTCGTGGCGAGCTACTGGGCCAAATACAAGGTCCGTGTACGACATGCGTCCTGCGTACGACTAGGATCCGCACTGCATTAATTGCCGTTGCAACATTTCCACTGTTGAGCTTTGACTTTAAAATCTTTCTTATCCTCCTTAAATCTTCTTTCGATATTGACGGTTTCATGTCACTTCACTTCACATCATCTGCCTCCAGTACTACCAGGTACTTACACCCGTCACGTTCCTGATGTTCTCTCTGATGGATATGGCATCCGTTAAAGCAATTCCTTTGCATGCACATTTCCTTATTCCGAATTCCAGTCCAATATCTTTGGTGAAAATTCGGGCAGTATTCACCAGGGTGTGCACTTGCTTTTCATCCATCCCTTATAATTTCAAACCATCCATAAACAGAAGATGATTAATAAGGCCTTTCCTGTTTCTCATATCATACCCCAGCTTTTATCTCAATACCATAGAGGAATGAGGGCCACAACAAATAGCAGTGGAGTGGAAATTTTGTCTCCGTATATTCACAGTGTGAATTTACCATACAGTGGCTATCCTCCTGTCACCATTTCCATTTTCCATTGATCCATACTTTTTTCCCAAAAGCTTGACCATATTCTCTGCTGCTTCAAACATTTGCAACATTTGAATGTGGGATCATATCAAACAGTTTTTTACAGTCCGCCCACGCCAGAAAAGAAGGCAGAAAATCTGAGAATCGTAGAAAACGTCCAAGCCTTGATTGCTGGTGAAAATCTGTCAGCCTTATCCTTTTTTGAAACAAAATGTAAATCAGTTTCTTGTGTTGATTGATGCCTCTTGTGTTGTAGATGATATTGAAGTTGTGTTCTACGAGATTAACCCTTATACTGGCAGGAAAATATGGGAAGCTAAAGGGATCTTTGCTTCTACAGACGTTCACAGAAAGGTGCAGTTTTTTGGCAAAAATAATAATTTGAAATCAATATCTATCCTTATTGTTAAACCTTGATAAAACAAAGGACCGACTGATATATCTGTTGTATCTGAATTATTATAGGTTGCCATAGTGTTCAAAACACCTGCCTACAGGCATGCTAACACTGAACGTCCTGTTAAGGTTTTTGTTAAACTGAGGCGGAAGTCTGACCAGGAAACCAGTGAACCTGTGGAGTTCACTTATCAACCACACATCATTGGTATGTGGCTCGCTTTAAGGCAGAGTACTTTTAGTTAAAAACAAAAAGAGCCAAAATCTTAACTAGCTTGCGAACGCAGACGTATTTCCCACCCAAAAGACGTCTCCGTTCGCAGGCTAGGTCTCATCAGAATCACAAAAAGTTAATTAAGTTAAAAACAATGAGGAATGGCTTGGATGGTTTGTAGAATCAACTAAAGCTGTGGACATAGACTTTGCTTAAAAAAAACACCGGTAATTATGTTACACAATGTTGTGTAAATAGTAAATACCACAGGGAGAGGGTGTTTATTGAATCTAATGTAACGCGCATGACTGTGTTCAAAAGCTTTCTTTTCATCAGTTTTTTTTTCAGCCTTACTCTTATAATAAGACTTTTCTCTCCTACCAAGGATTTTATCATTGCCCAAAATCGGAAGTCTTTAAGAACAAAGAGTACAAAATTTGAAAGAACTTTGGTCTAATAGCTTTATTTTGACTTGGTTTATGAGTAGTTAGTTTGGGTTGCACTGGTCCATATGCGAATTCCTTTGCAAACTACACACAATTACAGACATAAATGTTATTAATAAATGGGAAAATTTGATTTGATTTTAGCGGGATGTTTTTATAAATTCTTGTTCTTAGAAGAAGAGCCATTTTATGCAGAAAGGCGGAAGAAGATTCCTCGTTTCTCAGACCATTTTCAAGGGGGAATGGGAAGCCCACCCAATGTGAGTGGCCCAGGTGGAGGAAGTTTTGGTAGTATTCCTGGCTTCCTGGGCTTCACTAATGAGGGTGAGTTTAACAGACATTATCATGCACATTTACGTTTATATGAGCTATGAAATCTATGGTCCTTTTAACGTAGATTGTAGCCTGACGCATAGTTCTGTTCACGCTGGTTCCATGATTCTTTTCAAACTTGTGACTGTAGTTTTTTCTTATAAAGTTGCTTCAGCTGTAATTCGTTTGTCAAATACCTCTTTGTAATTGTTCGTTGCTTGTTTAGTTTGTTGTGAAGAAGATAATAGAAAAGCGATTTGTTTTAATGGAAGATCTTGCTGACTTGGTCAGATTAGATCAAATTTAAAGTTTAGCCCATTGCCTAGTTTCAAACCAAGATGGGCTGGTACTAGTCTGTGTTTTATTGGGTAAACAATATGAGACCCACAAGGTCAGAGAGAGGCTGAAGTTTGGTGTTGGGGCCAGTAGTGAACAAAATACAGATACCTAAAAACTTGAAAATTTACTAGGAGATGTGTGGATTGCCGGACACACTGTCTGAACGTCCATATTTTTTGGAGTTTTTGAATGGTTGTATCTCGCAAAATATACGCCCGCGATAAACACCAAACTCGAGGATTTTGTTAATCTTGGTTTCCTATTTCTAAACTTGTGGGTCTCGTGTTGTTTGCCCCATTATACATGGACTCGTTCTTGAAATTAGGCACTGAATTAAGGTGGCTTGATCCAGTATTTTTGTAGGTATACCTTCCACCTTTGAATCTCCTAGACTTAAAGAAATTTATCTTTATTGTAAAACCATCTCTGTTTTCGTGAAAGCAGCCTTTGAAATTACAAAAGGAACTCGGCATTGCGTTTTACCCCGATTTACAAGTTATCGTGTTTTTCGAAACTACGCAAGTCTTCTTGAATTTAGCCGGTTGTAGAGTGTATGATGGTCATTTACAAAACGAATGAGTGATAAAAACTTTTCAGAAACATCCAAAAAGTAACAAATTTGTCCGCGTCAAGTCTAGTCTTCAGTTCATGCGTAATTTATGCCCTTTTTGTAGAAATTGTAAGATATCTCAAAATTCCTCCTAGAGATTTTTGTGAAACTTCGCACAAAAGAAGACAAGCACCCAAAGTATAGGTAGCGTCGGGCATTTCTAAAAAAAAATGCCGATAAGGGCTGCAATTCGATTAAGAGCCAAAACTATTGTGACGTCATTGTCACTTGACATTTATTTCGATCGCCCCCCAAAAATATCATAATAAAGTTTAGTCTATGTGTAATACATGAGATATAATGGTTTTACAACAAAGATAAATTGTTTAAGTCTAGGAGATTCAAAGATGGAAGGTGTACCTACAAGAATACTGGGTCGAGCCACCTTAAGGTATTCGGACTGTAGCGGAAGTGAAAAAGTAGGAGCAAGGACTGGAATGCACTGAGATGGAAGTAACTGTACTTGGACGGTGACCTGAACACGGATTTCTTAGCCAAGAAAGCATCCACCCCTGAATGTAAACAACTAAAAGCTCTCAAGACCTTGCAATTTAAACAACTTATCGATGAGCCTACTCGAATTGCTTCCAACGCCATTACCTTGATAGATTTAATAGCAACAAATAATCCTCAGAATAGCAGTGATTCGGGTGTTATAAGTGCCAGTCTTAGTGATCATGAGATGATTTATTGCGTCCGAAAACTGAACTGGGAAAAGGCGCCAGCCCAAATGAAAGCATTTAGGAACTATGTGAATTTCTATCCTGTAAAGCTTTGTGACCTCAAAGGGGTTGATTTAAGCCATGGTTCGCACGGGCCTTGAAAAGTCTTTACTTCATGTTATTGGGGAAAAGAACTCCTTGAAAAAATGATTTTAGTCCTTGAAAAGTGCTTGAAAAGTCCTTGATTTTTTCCCAAAAACGGCTACATGAACCATGTAAGCCCTACGCACGAAGCATCCGTCCCTGACGGAGACCTTGAGAGTGTAAGTGTTAATTATCTCTGGGATTTTTTTCCAAAACATTTTTGTCTCCATTGCTAATCGGCACACGCCCGTCATGCATAAACGCGTGCGTGGGTTAGACAATTGTCCATGGTTAAACAGTGATATAAAGCGCGATATGAGGGAACGTAATTTTTTCTTTATGAAAGCAAGCAAAACACGCCTTTCAGAGAACTGGACAAAAGACCGCTACTTCAGAAATCGCGTCACTGGTAAGATTATAAAAGCTAAAGAAGCCTATAACAGGCGCGGTGTTATCGAGGAGGATGGTCATGACAGTAATGCTTTCTGGGGAACAGTGAAAAAACTTTTGCCTGGTGATAACAAGGAACCTTTCAATCTTTCCAGTGACAAGCGTTCAATTGGTAATGCATTTAATAAGTACTTCACAAACGCTGTAATTTGCCTTGTAGACTCCCTTAGGAGTGCTGTGGCTCCAGCGTGCAGTAGTTTAGCCTGTAGAAGCTCTAGCTTACCTGTGACGCGTCGTCACCCTGTATTTCAGTTTACTGACGTGACCGAAAGTTTCGTACTGAAACAGCTTAAAGGGCTAAAGACCATAAAAGCTGTTAGCCTGGACGATGCTATTATCATGAGGCCTCTTACAGCGATCATTAATGCTTCTCAAGTAAAGTTCCAGATGCTTGGAAAGCAGCATATATGTTTCCCTTAAACCGCTGGAGAGGGCTGTCCATGTGCAACTAAATGATTACTTACTGGAGCATAACATTTTGAGCCCATATCAGTGTGGTGTCAGGAAACAGCGTCCTACGGAATTTGCGGCTTTATCTTTAGCTGATACAATAAGACGTAACATTGATCACGGTCAAATGACTGGAGCTGTTTTATAGACTTCGGCAAGGCCTTTGACATCGTGAACCATTCCCAGCTATTAAAGAATATTTATGCCCTGGGTATTGTAGATGAAGAATACGAGTGGTTTACTATATATCTGAGTAAAAGAACTCAGGTTGTTGGGTTTCAGGGATCTTTCTGAGACTCTGAATCTATTTGTGTTGGTGTTCCCCAAGGATCGATCATCGGACCTCTTCTATTTGTTGTGCTTCATGTGAACGATTTACCCACTATTGCCCGCAAGTGTAGTGTGCTAATGTATGCTGATGACACTGTCTTATTCTATTCTGGAAGGTTGCTGCTTCAATAATCGAGAAAAGTGTCAATGAAGATCTTGATCTAATTGGATCGTGGCTCCATGATAACAGCCTTTTCTTAAGTGCGGTTAAGACCGAGGCTATGTTGTTTGGAACTTACGCTAGGCTTTCTGATGCAGATTTTGGTGTAACGTTTAAGGGCCGACCCATTAATCGTGTTTAGGAGTTGTATTTGATGAACATTTTTCTCGGAATTCTCATTTTAAGTATGTATTATCCCGATTCCCGAGCTGGTAAACGACGGGGAATGCTTGCACGCATTAGGTGGAATCTTACATCTGGCTGTGTTTATTCCATTTACACAGCTTATATTCGTCCTATTGTGACACCGTGTGGAATTGTTGCAGTGTTGGCAACATTTCTTCTAGAGAGGCTTCAAAGACGTGACGCTAAAATTGTTTCCAACATGAGCGACGGTGACAAAGCTGTAGATTATCTTAACTAGCCATCTCCGGTAAATAGACGAGAGAACCATGTTAATGAACTCGTTATCAGAGGCAGTAAAGGACAATGCCCGCAATGCCCGCAATCCTTTCACTGTTTCTAGAACTACTTCACTTTTAACAGTTCCGTAGACAATCGCACCACTAGGCAAATGAACAGGTTGCCCTAGACATGGACATAGGACATAGGATGTAAAAATATGTAAAATACAAGTAATAAGTAATGGTAACAGGACTGAGTGGAGTCCAATTCGGTCTGTAATCATGATCATACGAGTGATAAACAAAATCGGACGACCGCGTAGCGGGAGTTCGATTTGTTTAATCACGAGTATGATTACAGATCAAATTGGACGACACGCAGTTCTGTTACCAGTTAATCATAACTTTAACAAAATTTGTGATATAACAGGCTATTTTTTACATCAAAACACAAGAAATTCGACATTTTCTTTTGCTAGCTTGAAAAAAAAAAGCCATTTAAGCGCGCGCTTGATGGCGCGTACTGTCCAATTACTTGGGCATGACGCGTACTGTCCTATTAAACTGTCCAATTAAGGCTGAAATCAGGGCAGTTGATAGCCAATCAGATTTGACAATTTTGTTATAGTTATGATTATAAAAAAAATTGACATATTTGTAATTTATAATGAGCATAAAAGGCATTTACAATTTTCGTCGAGGGGAAGTTTTTAATTTGGATAAATGTTTTTTAAAAGTAGCGAGATCCCGGGCTGATGAACTTCTGCTGGCAAATTGTTTCAGGTGCGACATGCTCATGCGCATTTCTTCCTACCTCTATATAAAAATGGCGCCTCCGGGCTGGCCCTTTTCATGTAATACCGGGTCGGGATAAAAGTTACCTCGGCAGAGCTAACGAGCTCAGCTTATGTAATCAGGCCCTCGCCGTGAGTTATATTGTCACGCAGATTGCACGTGAAAGCTTTGGAATTTGCCGCTTTCGTGGTTCGTGTATGAGAGACTACGACTTAATCTAATTAACCCAAGGGTTTTAAAAATAACTGTCATGAACGGAGTTTGCGCGTGAAGAGGTTGGACTCCTTCCCTTGTACGGTTCGAACGTGAAAGATTGCAACTTGTTTGCGAGATCATTTTGCTCAAAAAGATTTTGAGAAATCACATCCTTTCCGAAAATCTGCAATGAAATTATACATCATTCAATGTTACCCTTATTTATCTCATGCAAGATCACTGAATTTTGCGTGACATCTTCTTTGGCTCTCGACAAATGAAGGCGAAAATATTGTCAAACTCTTGACAATAAGCCAAACACGTCAATTCCAATTATTTCGACAGATTTACCCTCAAATTTCTGAAAAATCGCCCAGCAAAAAATCGTCCTCTTAGAGGATATGTCCTTACTGGCAATGAATAGTCTGTATGGTCCGGAGGAGAAACATTCAAGCCGTGTGCTGCGCGGACAATTATTTTCCAAAGGAATAATGTAAACTATTTCATACTTCGTTTCACTCAGTGTTCATTGTTTTTACAATACGTTTGATTTCTTTTGCCAATTTGTTTGCCGAGCGTTATCTGTGGGATTTATGTCACGAGGATAAATGCTGTGTCGTGATACATCGCGCGGCAGGAATTCTGGTGGCGTCGCTTGGCTTGTTTACGTTCGCACGTATTGCGTGCCTATTGCAACTTCGAATCAAAACAAGCGATCTCAATTACTCTATTTGGGCGACGCCCAAATCACAAGTCTTTATAACCTTTTTTTCAAAACACTGTTGTGTGAAATAGATTATGCACACGCGTGTCAGAAACACAATACGTTATATCGAATCAATGGCAAACAAGCTTTCAGCACCACAGTTGTGTTGTCACCGTAGCGAAGCGTTCAATAAAGGATTGCAGGACGACTTTAAACAAAAAAAGTAATATAGATATTTCCCGTGTGTGGAATTACTGAAAATGTGAAGCTGATCTAATGGCAGTGCAGAGAAACTCGTATTTAAAAGAGACTAGTTAATGTGTCCATGGAACGACAACCAGATACTTCTTAAAGTCTGTCTATTCAAAATCAAGTAATATGTAGTGTTAATTATTATTTAATCTATTGCTGTTACAGCCTTGACTGCCTCACCAAGACCACACAAGAACACGGAAGGAAGGAAGGTTCAATATTTTTTCTCTTTCTTTTCATGAAGAGCTGTATTTTTTATGCGAGTATTTTATGTAGCGGCCCATTGAAGTGACTTTTATGACGATGTTAGGCATTTGTATGAATTACAATACCCGTATTGTAGTGTCATTGACATAAAAAGTTGTTAAGAATGCAACTAGAAGTTAATTTTCCCAATTCATAACTTTCAACATTCACACGAAACCCTCTTATAATAGCCGTACGAGAAGTGTGCTTCCAAAACTTCCAAAATTAGCATCTTGAATTTCATCTGTCTTTGATGGACGTGTCTCTTACCTAGGCACGATTTTCGTCGCTCTCTTGGTCCTTCCCGAGAAGGAGGCGGAGGGGAGGAGTGCGGGCTCATTTCCCGAACAGAGCCTGCTAATCGATCCTAGTATCCTGTCTCAATATGAAGAGATAACAGTGCACATAATTTTTAAATTAACATTGAAGCAAATCAAATAAGAGTAGACGTGCAACATAAATAGTGCTTAACCCATTATGTCTTTAGGTCTTGGGTTCCCTGATGCCTCGTTGTTATTGTCTTCGTTTTTGCAGGCTCGCTATCCTGAGACCACTAGAAAAACCACACTACAAAATCAGGAATCCGGAAGGAGTGCCGTGTCTTCTACCATGACAGTCCTAAACATCACTCTCCTTGGTGATGAGTGGGCATCATCAGCTGGGGGGCTCTCAACGTTCAATAGAGAGCTCGCGATTCATCTTTCAGATAACCCAGCAGTGAAAGTTTCTTTGCTAGTACCTGAAGGAGCTTGCACGTGGCAAGAAAAGCAAGAAGCTGATAGCTATAACATCAGTATTGTTGAGGCAGAGGCACTTGCCGCATTTGATCGTCTTGATTGGTTGAGCTTTCCACCCAAGGACCACGTCATGGACATCGTTGTTGGTCATGGCATTAAGCTTGGCCGGCAAGGACAAGTCATGAGAAACTCTTATCAATTCCCAAATTCTAAGTGGGTACAAGTGGTACATACTGCTCCAGAGGACCTTAGCAAATACAAGAGTTACACTGATCCCATTTCGAGAGGTGAAACAAAGCATCAGGCCGAAGTCGAACTTTGCAAACTTGCTGATCTGGTTGTACCTGTGGGACCCGGACTGGGAGAAGCATACTCTTCCTATTTAAAGCGATTTAAGACAGATCAAAAGGTCTCTCCGATTACGCCAGGTCTTTTTGACAGGGAGTTCGGGGATCTAACGCAATCTTTTCATGCTCATTCCGTATTTAAAGTGCTGTTATTTGGTCGTGGTGACGACAAGGACTTTGAACTTAAGGGATACAACATTGCTGCCCAAGCATTTACTGATCAACGGCTAAAAAACAAGCCATATCATCTACTGTTTGTGGGAGCACCTGAAGGAAAACAAGAAGAGGTTAGAGTGAAGCTTATTCAGCGTGGCATTGCCGAAGCACAGCTGACTGTTAGGAAATTTATACGATGTAGAGACAGAATGAAGGATTTGCTGTGTGAAGCTGACCTTGCCATCATGCCGTCAAAATCAGAAGGATTTGGCCTTGTTGCCCTTGAGGCCTTGTCAGCAGGCCTACCTTTTCTTGTTGGAAGTAGGTCGGGGTTTGCCAAAGCGTTAGAAAATGTTCCTCATGGTACTGCATGCATCGTGAATTCAGATGATCCTGTAAAGTGGGCAGAAGCGATTGAAGCTGTTCGTATCAGGCATGCAATGCGGCTTCAAGAGATGAAAGTATTGAGAGCATCTTATAGAGAAGTATTCAGTTGGAGTGAACAATGTAATGCCCTTGTTAAGAGAATGTGGAAAATGGTCCACGGTTAACTGCCCCGGGCGGGGGGGAAGGGTGCACCCAAGGGAAGTTTGGTTGAGGTGTGTCGTCAGGGGTTTAAATCAAATCCCGACTCTGGTTTAGGCGGAAATTTGATTTTTTAAAACACTTTTTTTGGACACATCCGGTCCCAACAAGACACTGTTCAGGAAGCTAAATGCTAGAATTGTATATCCCTTTTAAGACTCAAGATCCTACCATACCCTGTTCAGCGGCACATACTCGTTTATGCCAAACAAGGGAGTGGTCCCTGGGTTTACTCTCCGGTTTAAAGGAGAACACCACTGCACACTGCACTTAGCCTCAGTCCCAAGCAACGTTTTTAGGGTTTCTATACTTGTTCCTTGTAGAGGATTCCAAAGTGAGCTAAACGAACGTCTGCTTAGGAGGCTACACTACACTCTCTCGTGTAAGGAGGGAGTATATTTTGTCTTACTATTTACTTTATTGTAAGTGTTAATTGGCAACAGTCGTGTTAGTGAAATCTAATCTATGAAAATACATTTCAGGCCTAGACATACATATGTTCCTTTTTGAGCTGTTTTGAAAAAATGTCTTATATGTCAGCGGTCTGAGCGTTTGTATCTTTGTATGTTTGTATGAATATAGGTGTGTTGCAGGGTTTGGTCCAACAAGTTGGAAGGCACTATAGTCGAATAATTTGTGGTGGCGTGTGTGGCCAAGTGGTTAACACCTCGAACTCCTGGGCCCAGTTGTTCGAAGGCCGATTAGCGGTTAACCCGGGTTTCTTTTTCTTGTGTTCACAAGCATTTTCTCGGATATTTTTCTCTGTTATTTTTAGAGCTTCCAATCATCAACTTGTAGACCAAAAGAATTAAACTGAAATGCTTTTTAGGCTTTCAAATCTGAATTCAAATCTCGCACTAACCCTAGGTTATTTTAACCCAGCTTTGAACAACTCGGCCCTGATCTGGAGGTCCGGGGTTCAAGCCTCTCCCGTCGCGTTGTTTCCTTAGACAAGAAACGTTACTCCACTTTGTCTCTCTTCACCTAGGTGTATAAATGGGTACCGGCGGCATACTGCTGGGGGGTAACCCTGCGATGGACTAGCATCCCGTCCAAGGGGGATAAGCAATACTCCTAGGTGCTTCATGCTAATGAAACCGGGATAAGCTCCGGCCGTTTGGGCCTTTGGCTTGGGTGCGCCTTTGAGAATTTATAATAATAATAATAATTTATTCATTTATAGTGCGCTTTTTAACATGCTAGGTGATCAAAAGCGCATTACAAAAATAAATAACCTAAAAACTATTAATACAAATATTAGAAATATACAAATATATTTAATATCTAAGAGATATTAAAAGCTAATTTAAAAAGATAAGTTTTAAGATTAGATTTAAAAGTAGAAATACATTTGATGCTGCGGAGGCTAACAGGAAGAGCGTTCCATAAAGTGGGTGCAGTCACACTGAAGGATCTGTCATCAAACGACTTTTTCATTTTTTCTGACGGATGCTTTAATAAAACACCTTCATTAGAGCGCAGCAAATAGCGCGTATTAGTGTTAGTATGAATTAAATCGATGATGTAGCTAAGTGTCATGCTATAGAGGGCTTTGAAAGTAAGTAATAAAATTTTAAAATTAATTCTATATCTTACTGGTCGCATTTGTAGATCTAGTTTTCATCGTTTTAATTATGTAATGATTTAATATGTGTGTTTTTATTTTATATTTTTTATCATGCAAATATGAAGTAATTCAACTCTTGGGTTGCAAGTTATATAAATAAACTATCTGACTATCATCTAGTATTGTTCCCTATATTTTATCTTATCAGGAACTTTTTATCGTGAATTAAAATATATGAAATGTAGATAATTAGACTAATAGCGAAGCGCAATTTTTTTCTTTTGTAGTTGGGAATTTAAGTTTTATTCTACAGTCAAAGCTCTTTTTAGCGACTGCGAGGATTTTTGTTAAAAGTGGTCTCGATAGAGAGGAGAGGTGTGGCGTCACGAAAATTCAAACTTGTGAACTTATGGGGCTGGTTGGCATATTAAGAAAGAACAAGGTGAAACAAAATGCCCTCGCCAAGAATCAGGCTCTTATTGCCAATTGGTGAAAAGAAATAAGCACCGGTTTGCTCTGATGATTTCACACACATCCTTCTGAAATTGGCTTGGATCGTAACGTCAACGATCGAGGCCTATTTTAGAAGAATTTATATGGAGTCATCTGACCATATCCTTGTGTATATCTCCTCACCAATTTGCACTGTCAATAACAAGTGAACATTTTTTATTTCGTTCTACTGGATGTGTCAACCAATTCCATAATGTCACAAATTTAGTTTTTGTGACGTCATCACTTGTCACTATTTGATAAACCTATTGGGGGCGGTCGCTCTTAAAGCAGAAAGCTTTGCATATGTAGTTACTAGTGTTACCAGTTACACAGACTAAAGGTATTTTGATAATAATATTACATAGTTTTTCAGAGTTCTATCTCTTACGAAATTCGTAAAGCTTTACAGTCTTTGCATATGTCGTTACCAGTTACAGATTACTCAGACTAATTAAATAATTACAGCTTACGAAGTTTAATTAGCGGGCGTCTACAAGACAGCGGTTCTGTACTACTCTAAGTTTGATGAAGTATTAAAATGTCGTGTCATCACGTGTTGACTGATTGGTCACTAACGTAGGAAAAGTCCATGCTATTTCCTCACTGCTGTGAGGAAGTAAAATGGTTCGTAACTGTTATTGGGAAATTATTATAACGAGCATATACGGAATACCATGTAATTCTTAGCTAGCTGAATCTATCAAAGATGTAACCATAAAAAAGTGAGTCCTCGAAGCCTTGATATTAAACAGTGAATCTATTAGGGGAATTTCGGGTAATGTGATCTCCCTTTAACTTTAATAAGAAACTCATAACCTCTTATGAGTATCTGATTTAATACATTCAGTGTTTTATAATTAGTAAATGAAACGAGATGTATCGATACTCTTCAAAGATTGTCATGTTTCGTAGAAGGAGTTCTCGTTTTAGCTTATATCAAGAATTTATTTTCTTGATTCTTGTGAATGCTTATATTTTTATGGATAACCGAATGGGTGTAATCATTACTGACATTACTCCGTTACTCGTGACTCATCATTGAAGTTAACAAGAAATTTTTAAAAAAATAAATAAATAATGGGATTGTGCCCTGAAGTCGCTTCCTCCTCCCCTTCCTCACTCCCTATTTTTCCAATGAATGCACCCAGAGAATCGGCTGGGTATTTGCAGAACGCCAAACGGCGAATAGATGTGAAATCTAGTAACTAGGGTAAACGGAAAGTTTTACGTTCTAGCATCCTGTCTTTGTTCAATCTGGGATCATGATACAGAGTGAACTTAACTTAGGCTCGTTTCCCGCCTCTCTCTCGGGTCCAGTCTAGTGCTCCTCCTCGAGACGTCTTGGTGCGATGGGAGGAGCGCGAGCTCATTATTTTAATTAAGGGGCCATGTCACAAGGATATTGCTGTTTTATGTCAATTTTGTGCTGACGTCATTTTTCATAACTTACTGCCAAATGCTCCCGTAGTCATTAAGAAGGTATCAAGCCATATTACAAATTCCACCCATAATAATTTTTGGTGAATTTTTGAAGGCATAGCATTATTAAAACTTGAAAAAATTGGCCCTACGTTTTCAGGTGTTAATCCATGTCCATCCTTGCCATCCGTAGCAACAGACGGGAGGTCGGGAAACAGTTCCAGTGCCTACATTTTAGGGGGGAAGGGGTACTCAACAAATGTTTACAGTACGGGGAGGCTCCGCCCCGAGGTCCAACCCCTCACCCTTTTACCATTTTTCACGAAAAAGGTACCTCTTTCGTGTACCTTCTATTGAGAAATGGTATCCCTTTAAACCTTGTTGAACTTTGCATCTCTTTTAACTGCTGTAAATGTACTGTCTTTTAAATAGGAATCAATCACAACAAAATAATGTTTTCTCGACTTTTTTAAGCCATAAAATTCATCTGTTAGCCCTTTTTGGCCCTTTTACAGACGCAAATGACATATTTCCCTACCCTTTTATACACTTCAACTGGTGAAATCCCTACCCTTTCATATACCTGAAGCCTGAGAAAGATACCCCTTTCGGGCGGAGCCTCCCCGTATGGACCATTATACAGAGTAGCCCCCGGGGATAACCTAGGGCATCTGTGAACGTAAATCTATTAAAGCAAATCTGTAGACAACCATATCGAGAGCCAGAGAGGACAAAGCCCGGGGGGGGGGATACTCCCATACATTACCTGTACGGGTATGTGCCGCCCAACGGGGTCGTGATTTTGAAGCTCCTGATTTAGAACGGGGTATCCATTTCAGAGGCGTTTTCTAGAACGGGGTATAAAAAATTGTGGATCGCGGCCTTACCTTCTGCTTAAAATTGTTGCTGATTATGAAGAAGCATTTATTTGATGTATAAGACGAACAAATAAAGAAATATCTTTTTAAAAAACAGGGCTATTTCAGTTTACAAACTTTCTAGAACGGGGTATACAAAACTGGCCCATTTCTAGAACGGGGTATCAGTTTTAGGGCGAATTCTAAAACGGAGTATAAAAAATTGGCCTATTTCTAGAACGGGGTATCAGTTTTAGGGGAAATTTCTTTTAGAACGGGGTGCCAATTTGGAGTCCCGGGCGGCACACACCCACCCAAAAAATACCCAAGTGCCTCCCGGGGGGGACAAAGCTTTATCCTCTCTTGTCGAGAGTGATTATTCGTCGGAAACCGTTCACGACAACCTAGAATATACAGAATTATTGTACTGTAACCAGAACAGACAGCGAACAGCAACAACCCACCATAAAACCCACGATACACGGGGATTATTCTACCGAGACTATAAATAGGGACGGATGAATGGACAATAATCATCTATAATTTATGGACGACACGAAAACGCATTATGCCACAAGATAAAAACTCTATACGTTTCAAGATTCTTTCTTTTTAATTTGCTGCCGTC